TTGTCAACACTCAATCTTCTTTCTCTCCCCTTTCTACATGACTGCACACCACCTCATAAAATAGACTTTGGCCCAATAAATTTGTTATCACTCAATCTTCTTTGTCTGACACAGTACAAATTACCATTTACTAACACTCGGCAAAAATAACCGTGTCTTAAAGAGAAATAAACACCGAGAAATAAATTGCAAGCGGAAGGAACAAACACACGGATCTGAGTCTTCCCCTACGGGCCAATACATACAAGTGAAAATGAAATACCCATAACTGGTCACTCTCTCTACACAATCGGGCAAAAGATCAATTTCTTTATTTCAATCACTCTTTTACAATACACGCGCCCCTTTTTATTTAGGGAAATGTTTGTATACTTCTCTTACAATGTAGAAGATCTATGCTTCCCGTCTCATTTTAATCAAGAGAGCCACTCACCGTTTGATCTTAGATCCGATGTCTCAAAGTATTTTATTTTTATTTTTTTATACAAATTACATGAATATGAAATTCGATATGTGCCATCTTCTCATTGGGGCGCACCTGTAAAAATTATTTAAAATAATTTTTTGATAAAATATAATGACCAAAATACCCTTTGAAACTTTCAAGGGTATTTTGATCATTTTATATTGTTAGAAATATTTTTTTATATTTTTCTCTAGTGTGAGTTTACTAGAGGATTAAACATACAAAATTTGGTGTTAAAATAGTTTGTAGAAAAAAAATAAAAATAAAATAATGTAAAGACCTGACATTATGATTGAGGCAATTTTAGCCCTCCATTCAAAATGGAAGGTTGAATAAGGGGAAGTATATAAATTTTATGTTGTAGAAAAAACAAAAAAAACTTACCTTTTTTTTTATTTCTTAAAAAATAAATCACTCCGTACTAAATAACAAAAAAAAAATAGAAAAAAAATAGAAAAGTAGCTAATGAAAAAGGAACGTAATCTTTTCATATACGTTTCACCCGAAAAAGGTGAACTCCATTAAATAGGAAACCTTCCACTCTGCCGTATACGTTTCACCCCAAAAAAAGAAAAAAATGCCAAAAGAAACAAGGTCTATCCACGTGAAACAAAGGCCACCTCCTATTCCTTCTAAAACTAAAAACGTAACTAGTATCAGATCATATATTCACGCTAAATATGGACAAGCCTTACAAGAAAATAAAAACTTCCCTAAAAACATAACTCTTACAAGCGTCCTGCCGCTTTAGATCCTGAGAAAAAGTCAATTATGGAATTGAGATTTTTTAGAAATATCAATTCCCTGTTTGGATCGCATCTACTAGAATAAAAAAAATACAAATTTTCTGTTTGGATTATCTAAAATATCTTTTTCTTAGAAATGCAATTCTCTCTCTGTTTCTAAAAATTTTGAGATAGTTTTTCTCTCTAAAATTTTAATACACTTTCTTTCAAAAACTTAAAATTTGAAATAGTTTTTTGCTCTATAAATTTTGATATAGTTTCTCTCTCTAATTCAGATACTCTCTCAAATATGATGTAGTTTCTCTCTTTAAAATTTTGAGATACTTTCTCTCTCTAGAACTTAAAATTTGAGATAGTTTCTCTCTATAAAAACTTTGAGATAGTTTCTCTTTCTATACAATTTCAGATAGTTTATCTTTGTAAACAATTTCAAGAAGTTTTTCTCTCTAAAATATGATGTAGTTTCTCTTTCCAAGATTTTAAGGCACTTTTTCTATCTAAAACTTAAAATTTGAGATAGTTTCTTTCTAAAAATTTTAAGATAGTTTCTCTCTCTAAGAAATTTTAGGTACTTTCTCACTCTAAATTTTGATATAGTTACTCTCTCTAAAATTTTAAAATTCTTTCTCTCTCTAAAACTTAAATTTTGATATAGTTTCTCTTTAAAATTTTAAAGTAGTTTCCCTCTCTAAAATTTTAACAAACTTTCTCTCTCTAAAACTTAAAATTTGATAATATGTTCTAATTTCTTTAGGGCCCATTTGGCTCATTAGATTCAGATTTTCGAGTCACTTTTCTTGGAAAAGTTGGGCCAATCATGTTTGGTTCGTTTAGAAGTGATATTTCCGTTGGAATTGAGATTTACATGGGATTCCTGTATGCTCATTTAAGCCTAAATTTTGGAAATCTCAATGCGTACGGTTTGTATAGAGCTGAGGCTCTAAACAATCAAATTAGAGCCCACCTTTAAATGTTATCGAATGTGGTTTCAATACTAGAAATACTTGAATAGCCATCAAACATATTTTCATATTTAATTATAAGATTTAATGCTTCAAAAATAGTGTAGATCGAGCAGATTTATGAAAACTTGAATAACTTAAAAATTGACAATCCAAAAATGAGTTACAAGATGCGTTATTTTCAAAACTTGAAATCTTTTTTTTTTTCTCAAGTCCATACATCTTGATGTGGATATGATCAATTTGAGGATATTTCAGCATCAAAACAACATCTTCTAATGAAAATTTTTAGATAGGCTCTAATTTGATTGTTTCGAGCCTAAGCTCTATATAAACTTTTCCCTTATCTAGAAAACTTTGTTAAAAAAATAAATGAGCCCAATCCAAGAAGAGTGACATTATCTATTAAATTAAAAACCTAAATTAAATCTATTTCTAACAATTAAATTTAAAAAAAAAAAAAATTAAAATTCTACCCAATCTCTAAAAATAAAAATAAAATTTATAGCCACTAGCTTTTTGATTGCATCACTCTTTCTCCCACCCTCCTTTGCATCTCTCTTTCTACTAACAATCTCTCTCTCTTTCTCTCACCTTGGTGTCTCTCACTTGGTCTCAACAACAATCAATTGCATTAAAATTCTCACTCTCTCTCTACAAACAATTGATCCTATTAAAATTCGTTCTCT